CTGCAAGGAACTGCGCATGCGCCTCCCTGCGGGGTGGGCGGGGCCAGAGCCTGAGCTGAGCGGCTTTGCGATGGGGGCGGGGCCGAGCCCGGCGGCCAGGCCTGTGCAGGGACAGAGGGATGGTGGGCGGGGCAGGAGCGAGGGGGCAGCCCTGGTTGCTTGCATCTCGCTCCTACTGGGGACAGCCTTTCCTTGCTCATTGCGTTTGAATTACCCACATCATTACTCCCAATATTTGTAACATTGCTTTCCACAATTAACATTATGGTGACCTCCATGGATTCAATTTTGGATAAGATCTTTGCTACACACATTATATCTGTAAGATTTCTCTTACATGTATATTGACTAACTGGAGGTCCAGTCCTTCAGCCTGCCCTGCGCACTCTCGCAGTCCAGAAGCCCTCAGGAGATATCCGACCGCCATCAAGGTGGAGGTGGGAGAGGCTCCTGCCACCGCTGATGCACTCACCAGCTGTGAACCCAGCTTTTGGCTGAGCTGAGCTCCCCCTGTGGAAGCACACGGACCACCAGGGGGCAACTCCTGCATTGAGCATCTGCCCCCTGGTGGTCAGTGTGCAACATAGCAACTTGTTGACAGGTCATTTGATCATAATGGTCGCTTAGGCTTCTATATATATAGGGTGTCCCAAAATTCATGCAAGATTTGCAAATCTTGCGTGAATTTTGGGACACCCTATATATAGATGTTTAGTAATGCTTAACTCTAGGTTAAATATATTGTCCTATTCATTATATTTTAACACCATCCCCCAGTATGTATTTCTGATGCTGTGAACACTCATCCTGCCTAAAGTCCTTCCAAATTCAGTTTGTAATTTTTCTCTAATGTGAAGAACTGTGATATTTATTTCCATATGTCTGTGTCTTTCTCTTCCCATGCCTGTGTCCCCTCTGCAGCCTCTGTTAGTCTGTCCTGTTACCCACAGCTGGCTGGCTCTCAGTGCTGCCTCTCCCTCTGCTGCCTCATCCCTAAACCCCCCTTTCTGTCCCTGCACCTGCTCTCCTAATTCTTCTCTGAACCAGTGTCTCTGTCTGAAGTGCGGCCTCCTGTGTGGCCCCCACTGCTGCTCACCAGGGCTCCTCTCCTTATCAGCTCCCCTCCTCTCTCTGGGGCTCCCTCTTCTCCAACCTACTTTTCCACTTTCTTCCTCCTCGGGTTACTTTCCCGAGTTACCCCCTCACTCCTACCATGACAGTCCAGTCCCTCCCACATCCCCTATGACCCCTCACTGACCCTTTCTCCCTCCCAAGTGTCTGTCTCTCTCATTCCCTCTCCTGATCTCCTCACAACCTGGTTTGCTGCTTTCTGCCTCTGCTTTGCAGTCAAGTCTCCCATAAAGCTCCTCCCTACGGGGCAGGTGGCCTCTTATGGGGACACCATGTTCTCACCCCATAGAAACTGTACTCTCCCAGGCAATCTAGGCTTGTTATTTTATTTTCTTTAGGGAATTTTTTTGAAACAAAGACAACAAACCAGGGAGCAAATCTGAAATGCTCCCTTCAAGCCTCTTACTAAATGGGTGGATTGTGGGGGGTCAGCAGGGAAGTGTCTGCAGATCCCAGGCCTGGAGCGATCAGAGTTCCAAGGGCCTTGAGGCGAAGTGGGTGTGGATGAAAAGGGGCCACATGCTTACCTGGTTAACTCAGGGAAGGCTGCATGGTGGCCTTGCAACCTCAGATACCTAAAGTAACCAAAAAGTATGGACTGAAATGAAAGGTTTTCATTAAAAAGCAGTTTAGAGTGGACAGTCATATCCTAGGCCAGTATCTTTTCTGACAAAGGTAAGTAAACTGTGATATTTACTGAGCCTGTTGTCTTTTTTGCACCTATACTAATAAAAGGGTAATATGCTAATTAGACCAGATGTCTTCTGGAATCCTTCTGGACAAAGTCACGGTGGTGGGGGCTGAGGCAGAGGCGGTTAGGGGCAACCAGGCAAGCAGGAAAAAGCAGTTAGGGGAGGTCAGGACAGCAGGAGAGAGTGCTAAGGGGCGATCAGACAGGCAGGCAGAATGGTTAAGGGCAATCAGGCAGGCAGGCAGGTGAGCAGTTAGGAGCCAGGCAGGCAGGTGAGCAGTTAGGTCCCAGATTTCGAGAGGGATGTCCGACTGCCAGTTTGGGATTGGGCCTAAACCGACAGGCGGACATCCCCTGAGGGGGCCTGGCTTTGAAAGGGTGCAGGCTGGGCTTTGGGACCCCCCCAACCCCCATGCACGAATTTTGTGCACTAAGCCTCTAGTCAACAATGAAGTGGGAAAAGTGGTGCAAAGGATTAGACTCCACCTGATTCATCTCCTGAGTTGTTTCCAGAGTTTAAACTTCGTGGGGTGGGAGGGTTGCACTGGGAAAAGCTTACAGAAGGAAATCCAAGTAGCAGGTGGTACGTGATGGCCAGAAAGAGATCACAGAGGGGGGAAGCAGCGGGGGGGACAGATCAAGTGTTTCCTTTAATTGAATGGGGAACCTCCACTTTGCGGGGAAGCGGGTGGGGTGTGGGACATCTCCTTTAGATGTGGACTCACTGCTGCAGCATGGGTGGCAGCGAGTATTTCAAAACTGGCAGTAACCATCAGGCTTCCCACGAGCAAAAGGGAATTAAGAGGATCTGGTTTAAACCAGAACCAGGAGACTTGCATGACCTATATTCCTTGCTAGTTACTTCTGAGTCTCGAATAAACTGTGCATGGGACATGCCTCAACACACCGCCATGGGGTAGTCTTAAGCTGAGCACGGTGTGGCAAGTGTGGGCAGAGACCTATGGAGGGGAGGGGCCAATTCTCTTATTTTTCCCTTGATCACTGCATTTGACTTACCTAATTTTTGTAGGGCTTCAAGATCATTACTAACAAAACGTGTAAGATTCCCTTCAAAAATTAATATTATGGCACTAGCCAGTTTTCCTCAGTGGATAGAGTATTGGCCTGAGAACTGAAGGGTCTCAGGTTTGATTTTGGTAAGGGCTAGTGGCCGGGTTGAGGATTCAATCCCCAGTGGAGGACTTGCAGGAGGCAGCCAATCAATGATTCTCTCTCATCAATGATGTTTCTACCTCTCCCTTACTCTCTGAAATCAATAAATATATATACAAATTTATATTATGATGTTTCTCTAAAAATTCAATGTTGAATGAAATCTTTGTCACACAAAAGAAAAAAATTACACTTTTCTTCATAAGAACATTCCACCTACCAAAAGAACTATACACCACCTTTAAATATGCACAAAGTACTATACTAAGAGAAATCATTTGATGGGCCATCAAACAATTCCTGACAAATTTTAAGAGAATTCAAGTCATACAAAATATGTCTATGACCTCAATGGATTGAAGACAGAAATCAATAAAAGAAAAATTTCTTGGAAATTGTCAAGTATTTGGAAAATACTAACATGCTTGTGACTAACCATGGGACAAAGAAAAACTAAAGTGGACATTAGAATGTATTATTGAGGTGAAGTGGTAAAAAGCTAGGATAAGGGAAGTAGAATAAGGGAAACTGAGACAAATTAGACAAGACCAAACAATCTGAGCAATTTTCAGCCAGCTAATAAATCACAAGGTTTTATCTTCTCTAACCAAGGACACTTAGGAGCAAATGCTTTACTCATTCCAGACAGTCCCCAGGGCAAGCTGGTTTCAGTCCGTCCCCATTTCAATAACATTCTTTAAAAATAAAATTAACCAGAAA